GCTTGGCGGACGCGGGGCGGGCTTCGCCGCGGGGAATGACACGCTCCTGCGGGTTGCGTTCGCTCCCGCCGATTCCGAGTTGGCACTCGGTGACGCGCGTGGGAAGTACTGGTGGAGACGAGAGTTTCGGAGCGAGTACGATGCTCGGAGGAGAGACGAGCGCGCCTTAGATTGGTAATGTTGTGGCAAGGAGACCGAAGTTCTCACTTGTTCCTGAGCTCGGGCTCTTAAACCAGTGGCCCATTGCAAGCCTGGCTTGACCACCAGGAAAAAGACCACGTTGTGGAGGTACCTTTTGCTGCAGGCTTGCTGCATCCTGTTTAGTATATTTCCTACTAGGTCTAGGAGAAGGAAAGGCGCTGCATGGCTAATAGAATTTTTTGTTTGCAGGATGGGGAAGGGGTATCAGAGCTCAGAGGGTCTCACTCCTAGGCATCGCAACCATGGAGACCTTGGAAAGTGCATTAACTTAGTCCAAGGAGTGGGGTCCTTATGGAGGCCTCGAGTAAAGGCTGAGTTAGAGGCGGGGGAGGGGATCTCAAGGGGCCCCACTTTCAGACATAAAAGCTGAAGTGGGTCTCCAAGTCCTAATTCTCATGGAGTTAGAAACTGTTTGAGTCCTTTCCCTTGGTCACTTCTTCCCATGTCTTGGTCTGCAGGGCTAATACCCTCTGTAATTTTCAAAATATAAAAGACCAGAGTGCTTGTCTTTAAAGATCTTAGGGAAGTGGGAGCTATTGCCAGAAGATTGTTGTCTCATGCGAAGGTAGCAACTAAAGGAGCAGAAGGCAGGAAGAAAGGAGAATAGAGTTAGTCATGGTCCCAGGAAAGTTTTTTTTCCAGATGCTCAAATCTAAAGCCTTGTGCTCAACACGAAACGTTTAATAAAAACATGAAAAAAAAAAAGATTAACCTGAGTACCAATCCTTTATGTTGTGTCTTAGGAGCAAAGCTATCTATTACCAAGAAGAAATATATTAGTTTAAACTGGAGAATTCCTTTATATAAATAATTAGAATGAAAGAACCTTTGGATGGTGTATGTGGCAGAGCAATGGCACCACAGCAGGGACTTCCAGACACAATTAAAGAGGAACCTGACAATGTTCAAGTAAGCATTTAATTTCACTTAATTGTTTTTTAAATTCCTTCTTTTCTATCTGGTGAATTCAAATTTTTAGTTAGGCAATTTCTAGCTTGTACATTAAAATGACCCAAACTGATTTTTTTCTCCTCATTGGATGAGTAAATCAGTTTTTCTGCTCTTTGAATGAAAAAAGACCTTGGTATCCATATGATATTTCGTTTTGTAAAAAGAAAGTAGTATGTTACCATTTTTCCATGCTTAGAGTACTTTTTTTAAAAAATTCTCTTCTATCTGATAAAAGTTTGCTTTTATTCTCTAAGTATTGTGCTCTATTCTATGCTAGGGGATCCAGGAAGTGATCAAAGTCACCCTAGCCATATTTAGGCCTTTGTTTCCCTCTTCAGTATCATCACTCATCCTCATTTTTCTAATCTCTGCTCCTGCAAACTATTTGCATTTCACTCAAAGTATATTCTGTTGAGTTTTGTTTCCTTGACTGCACAGTTCATTTCTTCTGCCTGCGGTATCCTAAACTAGATAGCTTGGCAAAAATTTTCTCCACTTTTCAGACATAGTTTAACTGTCACTTAGGGGTGAAATTAATCTTTTTTTTTTTTCTATTGCATAGTGCTTTTTATTTTCTTGTATTTTATTTTCTTGTTAGTCCTCACCAGAGGATATTTTTTCCATTAACTTAGAGAGAGTGGAAGGGAGGGGGGAGAGAGAGAAACATCCATGTGAGAGAGAGATATATTGTCGATGTGAGAGAGGTATATGCCCTTAACTGGAACCAAACCTGCGACCCTTCAGTCCATGGGCCAATGCTCTAACCACTGAGTGAAACTGGGTAGGGCTATTTTATCTTATTATTTTAAAAAATATATTTTATTGATTTTTTACAGAGAGGAAGGGAGAGGGATAGAGAGTTAGAAACATCAATGAGAGAGAAGCATCGATCAGCTGCCTCGTGCACA